CCTACTGATGGCTCCAAAGAGCAGGTCTGTTTAATGTTGGCAAAGTCCTATGAGTTTTCTTTCTGTGATCTCAGCTATTTGTATCTTGCTCCAGAGGTCTTCTCTATTTTGAGGCTGTTACGGATATTTCTGTCTTTTCTTTTGGAGTGACAGTGTAGGTCTATCCTTTGTTCCCTGGTGTGGACATGGGGCAAAGTGCATTTATCCATAGCCGTACCCAGTTGTCCCAACGGTACATTTGTTAAACAAACCTTGCTTTCTCCATTCAGTTGACCCGCCGGCTTGGCAAATGTCATCAACTACGTATTTGTGGATTGATTTCTAGCGTCTATTCTACTCTGCCTGCTTTTTTGGTCCTAAGTCAATTGACCTTATCTCAAAATGTGCAGCCACCAGTAAGTCTGAATACGAAGCAATCTCGCAATCTTGCAATCTCTCTCTCTCTCTCTCTCTCTCTCTCTCTCTCTCTCTCTCTCTCTCTCTCTCTTTCTCTTCACACCCACCCGCAGAGAATTTTCTTATTCTAAATCCTTTGAATTTCCACATGAATCTTGGGCTTATTTTGTCTGTTTCTACAGAATAGCTTTCTGGGATTTTGATTGGATAAAGAGTAGGAATCCTAGAAATACCATAAACTTTGAATTCATGATCATTAATTTAGATGGCTTTAAATTTCTGTAAACAATGTTTCAGACTTTCACTGTAGAGGTTTTGCATATATCTTTTTGTTAAATTTATTTCTAAGGAGTTTACTGATACTATAAATGGTATTTATTTTTTTCATTTCCAACTGTTTCTTTTTAATATGGTGTTTTATGTTAGTCTTGCATTTACTGACCTTACTAGGCTCATACTTCTAATGACTGCTTTGTATATTTATTTGGCTTTTCTAAGTAGATAATCAAGTTGCCTCTGAATGAGGACATTGATACATCTTTTCAAACGTGTACCCTTTTCGCCGGCTTTCTTCCTCACCTTGCTGAGGATCATAAAGCCATTGCAAAAAAAAAAAAAAGTGGTTAGGAGAACTTCAGTCTTAGAGAAAGTGTTGAATATTTGAATTTTAAAATTTTTATCTATTTGGTGTGTGTGTATTCAGTTTATGAATGATACCAGGAGCAGGTTTTCTGTAGTTCCTGTCTACCGCAGTTTACTGATTTTGCTGTCAGCGGAGAGCTCACAACATTCCCACCTTTAGCTACTGTGCAGGACTTCTTAGGTATTATGGTTATGATTTAAACAACACTTTCTTCTCTGTTATTTTGTGATAAAGCTTATCTGGAAATAGAAATATTTTCTTGCCCTCATGTGTTTAGTAGAATTCAACAACCCAGGACGTACAGATGGAAACTTTCCTAACAGAGAAATTTAAAACTTTTTTTCAACACATGCGAGTCCTTCCGTCCCTCCCTCCTTCCCTTTCTTCCTTTCTCCCTCCCTCTTCCATTTGAGACTGGGTCTCCTTACGTAGCTTGAGTTAGCCTCGAATTTGCCCTCTGCTTGCCTCAGCCCCCTGAGAGCTGACTGGATATGGGTTCTTTAGATGTCATCTTCCTTCCGCGTCAGTTTTGAGAATTGTACTACCCATGGCATGTTAGCTTCCATCTCGGCTGCTAAGTGTGCTAGCATGAAGTCACTCACAGCGTCCCTTCACAGACTTCCTGTGTCTAAGGATTTGTAGTGATTTTGCTTTCGGCATCCTCTATATTAGTGGCTTATATTTTCTCCCTTTTTTCCTGTTCATCAGCCTTGCCAGAAATATTGATTTTATCTGTCTTTTCAAAACTGCACTGTTTGCGTGTGTTGCCTTTTCTCTGTCGTCTGTCCTCTGATCATGTCTACTGCACTGTGCTCCTCGTTTGATCTCTTGTGGTCTTAATTTACTCATTTGAACTTTTCAACATTCTATTATCCTCTCTCTCTCTCTCTCTCTCTCTCTCTCTCTCTCTCTCTCTCTCTCTCTGTGCCTGTGTATGCGTGTGTGTGCATATGCCACGATGTGTCAAGGCCAGAGGACAACTGGCAGGGGTTGGTTTTCTCTTCCTCCCGTGGGGGTCCTGGGAATTGAACTCAGGTCACCATGCTTGGCAGTAGACACTCCTATCTGCCGAGCCATCTCACTGGCCCTTCTTTGAAATTTTGGATAAATTCCTGATTGACAGGTAATTCTTGCCCGTATCTTGGGGGATTGCTCTTGGTTTCCTGCTTCCTACACCAGAAGCTTAAGAAGTCGATTTTGAAATGCAGCGTCTCTTCTAGACGTTTCCAGCTAAGGTCCTCTCTCCGAGCACTGCTTCAGCTTTGTCTCCGAGCTTCGATGGGCAGTGTTTCCATGGCCGCCCAAGTCAAAATATTTGATGACTTTTTTCCTGGGACTTATTCTTAGAACCATAGATTATTCTGATTTATGTTGTATAATTTCTAAATGTTTGGAGGAAATTCAAACTGTCCACTCGGTTTTTATTTTTAATTTGTGTCTATTGAGATCAGAAAGACTATTGTGTATGGATTTTAGCTCTGTGTAAATGCACTAAAACCCACTCTTATTGAGCAGGGCAGGCTTCTCCAGAAGCAGTCAGGCTGCTGGTGACAGTTGTTCTGCAGCTCTGCACACTTGTTAATTTGTTTCCTGTCAGGTACTGAGAGGGAGGTAATCATACCTCCCTCCAGGTGCCCACACGTCCTTGTGGGTCCCTCGTTGGGTATGGAGACTGTTTAACTTCAGGACTTCTGGGCTTTCCTGAGGACTTACTTTGGATGTCATCTGCAGTCACCTTCACCCCTGTAATTTCCTTATTTCTGCGTGTTTCCCATGGGCCTCTTGTCTCTTCAGTTAAGGAATAATTCTTTGTCTTGAAGCTCTGTTTCTGGGAGGACCGTTCCTCGTTGCTGCCTTCCAGGACTCTGAGTGCCCAGAGAAGTCACCAAGGCCAACATGAGGTGAGGGGGAGGCCTGGTCATCAGGCGTGATGACAGAGATGCACAAGCCGCTGTTCTTGTAACTTACCTGTCCCTCGGCCTGCTTGACTGGCCCCAGATAGACCGCACCCATTGTCCTCCAGATCCATGCTGCATCCATCGTCTTCTACCCCTGCCAAGGCACACGGGGCCTGTGGCAGTGCAAACAGGGTCACATGGTGCATCGGGCTCCTCCTGTTGTGTGTGACAATCCCTTGCTCCAGGGCCTCAGCTCCTTGCTGGGGCTTGCAGGGATCCACATATCACTGACCCTGTGGTCCTACTACAACACAAACTTGCCGTAGAAGCCATGTGTGTACTGTTCCCACTCAGAAGTGATAATCATCATAGTCATTTAGTTGATGGGCATTTGTAGGTATGGTGCAGAGAGTCTTCAAGATCCAGAGAGGTCACCAAGCACCAAGGCAGGTAGGACAAAGTCCCAGGCTATGCTGGGCCTCTGAGCCCAAGGGTTTTGCCTGTGTGGCTGACCTTGAGAAGGTACAAAGATTCGCCCTGATTGAATTATGGAATGAGGGCATTTTGTAAGCCTGTAGGCATGTTCAACTTGTAGCTTACAGACCACATGAATGGAACCCAGCTCATTTGTAGACCATAATGTCACGTTGAAATGTCAAAAGTTGGACACCTGTGCAAGGCACTGGAGAACTTGCCAGCGAGCCTTCCTGGCCCTGATCTGCATGGTAGCATCACTGAACCCTTTTGTAGCATGTCTCCCACGGTCTGTCTCGTGCCCAGAAGTGGAGGGTTAGCTTTGGCAGGATCTAGATCTTACATGGTCCTCTTCCAACACACCATTTCTCAACCTCCTTTCTAATGAGACCAGAGAGGGTATGCCTCCTGTACTGGTACCTACAGAGCACGTTCCAGAGGCCCTGTCATCCTGTCCTACCATAAGTCTCATGTCTAACACAGCATCTTCCCAATGCTCACGGCAGTCCACCTGGTTCTTACTGGGGTCGTTGAGGTACACTTTAAGGAGTGTTGCATTCTGCTCCTACACCCTTCTGGGGTGTGTTTGAATAGACTATCTAAAAGGAAGTGGACTAGGGATAGTTTCAATATATTCCCTTGAGGACTTATGAGATTGCTGAGTGGGTGAAGTCCTGAGTTCGATCCCTAGACTAACCTATATAGGTGAAGAAAAGGACCAGCTCCTTTAAGTTGTTCTCTGATCTCCTCACATAAGCTATGGCACCCATGTGTACACGCACGTGCACACACACACACACATAAACACACATTGGTATACACACTGGTATAAGCAAAATATATATGCAAAATATAATTCTAAAAACTTTTACCTGGGTGTGATAGTGCACACCTTTAATTCCTGCACTCAGGAGATGGGAACAGACATCTCTAAGAGTCTGAGGATAGCCTGGCCTATTTAGAGAGTTCCAGGCAAGCCAGGGCTACATAGTAAGACCATGTCTTTAAAATAAATGTGTCCTCTTGGCCTTTCCTGTGCTCATAGCTCTCATCTCTGTTAAGTGCAGCCATTGTGACTTATACTCATCCCCAAGGAGGTGGCCAGGGTGGGCCTGGGTCAACTTCAGTCCCACTCTTGAGACAACATGGCATTTCCCTTGTGCTGATGATAGCTCAGGCCCTGGTCCCACAACATTCAGAGGCTCTGAGCATTGCTCATTGTATAGCTACTCTGACAATGCTATTAGTCCTCGGAGGACAGTGGGTGACCTGCCCACATATGGAACCTGGATTCCCTCCTCAGATCCTGGGGTGCAGTCTGCAGTTCTGAAGTCAAGAAGTAAATGTCACCAAGGACCAAAGACAATAGAGCTGGGGTACTCAGAGGTCCCTGGGCTCCAGGGAAGCTGTTTCAAGCTAATGAGAAGACACGAATCACGGGATTCTGGGAACAGGAGACACTCCTCCAGAGACAGAACAGTAGGTCAGACCAGTATAGGGAGAAGGGGGGCTGTGGAAGTCCCTCTTCTGGCTCCATTTCCTTCTGACCCGGAGAGTAAGGACATCTGTCCAGGGGGACAATCCCTACCTGAGGGTGGAGAAGGTTTGAAATGACATCATCATGGCACTCAAGCCTTTCAGAGTCTTAGGAGTCTATATTTGCACCAAGAGATACAGAGAGCGGGGGCGGGGGGTCCTCTCCACACAGGGCACATGGGGGCACGAATGTATTCAACAATGAACACACAGTATTTCAATCCCAGGAGTTGTGTGGAGCAGAGGCAGAGCAAACACCCATTGCTGTCTCCTGCCTATATCTGTTCTGACTGTCAATTGGATAAACCCATGGGTCTCTGGGAAGCAAACAACCACCCACCTCAGTCCCAGTTTGAAACATGGCATCTGCCTCAAGGCCACAGTGCCAGGCACTTGGAGTCTCACAGCTATCCCTTGCACAGGAGTCCTTAGGGACCAAGTCCCTCCACCAGTCACTCAAAGAAATATCTCTGATTCCCCATTTCCTTCCCACAAGTTCCAGGGAGCTCTGCAGGTTGGTAGAGACTGGACCTGCTCGCCCAGCTCAGCTGTGGTCGCTTCCCATGCTCTTGGTCTTCTGTAAGATGTTCTGCATGGCTGAGATTCTGTCCTTATCCTGGATGTCAAAGACCTGGAACTGCAGTGGGCGGGGACAGAGGGTCATAGGCAGCCAGGCTGCACCTGTCTCAGACATCCTCTCTGACCACCCTACCTGTGAGTGTCCACCTGGTCCGTCACCCTGGCACGTGGACCACCCCAGCACCCCTCCTCCAACAGCCCTACCTCACACTATGTATCCCTGACACAGGAATGACCCCTCCCCCAGGGAGGTCCCACTAACGGTGGTTGAAGGCTTTTCCCCTGTACATTCCTGACCGAGAAATGTCAGGCATGCTTTGGAGGCAGGATTTGGGCCTGCGTGGATGAGTCTCTGCCTTTGTCTGGGGTCAATGGGCTCTATAGGTGTAGAAGGGACAGCGGGTAGACACCCCGAAACAGCAGGCCAGAGAACATAAGGTCCTAAAGGGTACGACTCTCAGAATTGCCAAGTCCAGGAATACATAGGAAATCTATCCCAGAAGGTCCAGGGAAAGTCAAAGCCCCAAAGTAGAAAGGACTCTGGGCATCTGCTGTGTTGTTTAAGGTAATTCTGTGGAACATGGGCACAATCTCAGGCACTCTGCCCTGACGTTCAGAGAGCAACCTTATACCCATGAGGCCTCTCCTGAGGTGGCATTTTATGTCCCATCTGACCCTCTGCCATTCAGAACTCTGGTTTTACCACAGCCATCCTTTAGTTCCTGTCCTAGAAGAGAGTGGTCAGGGTTCAAGACCAGGACTCTAAGCCACTCCCCCCATGAAACAGCTGCACCCACCTTATCAAGCAGGAAATCAAAGTAAGCAGTGGTCCAGTAGGTAGGGTCACTGGCAGGTAGTTGCAGGAGTGCCTTGACTCCATTGTCAATGCGTGGTGGACGACTGTGGCCCAGGTGGGTGACATGAATTCGTAAGGACTCTTCGGGCTGGCTGGCGAAGTGTTCCACGCGTTGGTAGATGACGCCAAGGTCCAGGCCGCTGTCCTGCAGCAAGTTGTGCTCCGGGTACAGGAAGTGGGGCAGGTTCCTGGTAGCCAGGCAGCAGAGCAGCACCACCAGCAGACGGTACACGGCGCCCTGCAGGTCCATCCAGTCCTCGGGTGCTGGGAAGAGCACAGAGGCCCACAACAGCACTGTCTGCAGGACACAAAGTCAGACCTGTCATGGGGCGGCTGGACTGGCTCCCCACCACCTGTCTGTCCACTAGCCCTTCGCCAGTTCACATCCGCCAATCCTCCTCAACACCGCCAATGCTGAGTCCCTCTGATATCTGCCACCCTAGCAGCTTCTGGAGCTCCCATCACCTTCTCTGCCCCTCCCTCTCTCCTCTGGGCCTCCCTTTTCAGCCTTTGCTGAACTCCAGTCAACTTCAGAACTCCCTCGGGTTTTCTGAGGCTGATCTTTGTAGACCAGCCCTAAGGGCATTATAAGTCCTCCTCCTCTCCCTCCTCCTCTCCCTCCTCCTCCTTTTCCTCCTCCTCCTCCTCCTCCTCCTCCTCCTCCTCCTCCTCCTCCTCCTCCTCCTCCTCCTTCCTGCTCCAAGACCCTTACTAGATTACCGCCCCCATTACCCAACTACATTTCTGTGTCCTCAGACCATCTTCCTCCTCTACCATCTCTCAGTTCATCTAGGATCCTTTGTGTATCAGACCCCAGTGGCCACTAGAAACCATATCCCCACCTTGGGCAGAGGCCTGAGACAGCAGACTGACTCCCCAGACAGAATCTGACAACATAGACCAAGCAGAGGGTCCTCTCCATCATGAATACACACCCCGGGAGGATCCCAAGACTTCACAGCTCTACCCACTTGCCTCTCACTGCCCCAGGGACTAGGAGTGATGGAACCCCAGTTGTTCATCCATAGCAGGATGTAGATGTGATATGACTGTCCTGCCCCAGGGAGCATAGGAAGGGGGCCAGTGCTCCCGTGGGTACCCAGTTGGCTCCAGTCCATAGGGGAATCTGACGAGAGGACTTGTGCCGGGGAGAGGTCCAGCCCTGTGTGGCCCAACCCAGTCATGTTTCCGTTGCAAGTCCTCCAATGACACCTGTCTGGGAATGGCCAAGGCCAGCATGGCCAAGGCCACTCTACAGCCATGCCTACGAGACCTCGTGGGCTATGGTCTCCCCAGGTGAACCTGGAGTCCTCGCAGTACCTGTGACTGCTCATCACGGGAGCTGGTGTGAGGGACACACCCAGGGGGTCCCTGCCCTCCATTTTCTCATCACAGATGTGAGCGACAGAGCAAGGCAGGTGGTGAGCTACCGTGCCTACCTTCAAGTGGTCAAAAGTTAGGCCGGGGCTCTGGCTGCTACCTCGCCAGCTCTCTAGGTTCACCCGGTCGAGGATGGAGAGACTGTCCAGGCGGTGACCAGGGAAGGAGCCTAGTGCACCAAGCAGGCGGCTGAGCAGGTAGCTGGTGGAGATCCTGAAAGCCAGACCCACCTGTCAGGTCTGGGGTTCACAGTGCCCAGCACCCTGTGTACCACCCGAAAGAAAAAGCAGGCAGTGGTTGCTCCCCAATACTAGAACCTCATGAGTCCCATGGGGGGGGTCATACTCTTACTGTGGCCATCCTGGGGCTCCATGACCTATGTCTCTCTTAGCAGCTGATTCTGTTTGCTAGCTTGAACATCTGTGGTTCAGACTCCCCATCAAAGATTGCAGGGATTATGGGAGACCTCAGTCAGCCCACCCTTTATTTAGACTGGGGTTTGGTGGAGCTTCAGGCTGGCAGAGGGTGTGGGCTCCACTCTAGGGTGTATTAGGGAAACCAAAGTCCCCTTGTCTGCCATGGGAGCCAGAGGGTAGATAACATGTTGAGGGTCTTCATCTAGGACCCTTAGCACAGGGCCCAGCACATCACAGACCCTCACTTCTGTGTTTGCTGAACCAGCATTGGGTCTGAACCAGACTCCACACCCTGTGAGTCTTAGTCCTAAAGGGTGGGCCGAGGTGGGGCAACAGGAAGGCCATATTCTATTCGGCCCCACCCTTCATCTGCCTTGGTGGGCTGGTGCTTACTCAGCAAGGATGCAGGGTATGGGACCCACTGAGCTCTGCAAAAGCTTCGGAATGTCACAGCAGCTTACAAATGTCACTTATAAGGAGCAACTCGGTTCCAAGATGGCAGCACCTTGGGCATGGGAATATTTTGTAAGTCCCCCAGTAGAATCACTATGGTCTTGTAGGGGGGTGCCAGTGATGTCAGTCTTGGATGGATCCCAGGCCCTGAGTCCTGCTGGCTGAGCTTCTGTCCCCTTCACCTTCTCACAGACACTGAGTTGGTAGCAAGTAGCCCTCACTGAACTCACAGGCTTCAGGGAACTCAAAGAAGTCAGGGCTGGAGATAAGGGCCGGCACACGGAAGGAAACATCTATAACTAAACATCTCAAGTAGGAGAACATTCTGAGAAGGGCTCTGTAAATCTGGCAATGCCACCTCAAGTGAAAGGTATTAACAAGCCCAAATTACTTTTATCAGTGTGAGCATCCTTGCTGTATGGGTGTTCTCAGTATATGAGCATCCTCACTGCGTGAGCATCCTTACTATGTGAGCATCCTCACTGTATGGGCATCCTCACTGTATGAGCATCCTCACTGTATGGGCATCCTCATTGTATGAGCATCCTCGCTGTGTGAGGACCTTAGACAACCTCTCTGCTAGAGTTTAGCTGGCTATTGGTGAAAGACCCCCTTCCACACCACCTTCCACATTGGATATCTCATCACAGCTTTATGCTATTGGTCACCTCCTGTGCAGAAGATGTCCCAGCCAGGTCCTCCCCAAATCTCCCTGTGAGTCATTAAACACTAGAACTGCCCCAGAGATTCTAGAAACCTCAGCATAACACAGATCCCTCAGATCCTCCTGCATGAGGCTCAGGTCCAGAGTGGCATTTACCTCCAGTGCTGGGCATTAGCTGGTACCAGGTCCACCCCGTGGCTGGCTATTCTTCTCAAGATGCCCTCAGGGAATCCAGGCTTCAACTGGGCCCGCTCCAAGGCAGGCACCCTGTGCTTCTTCCTCACCACAGGCACAACGTTGAAGCGGATCTTCCTCCAGCCGCTGGACACCAGCAGGGACAGGTGCAGCTGCCCTTCCTTCAGGTTAGCAGCATTCAGAGAGCCTGCAACAACCTGCCATCAATCTAGCTCCCCTCTTCTGGGCCTAACCCTGCTTTGGTCTGGGACACCCTCCCTGCTGTCATGACTGCCCTTCCCGGTATCTGCGGCTCCTCTACCTGCCCATAGGAACCATTGCACAACCCTACGCATGGAGCAATGCCAGCTGAGCTATGTCACAGCATCCTTCATAACAACACCTTCCCTCATGAGCCTTCTGTCTGCTAGGCCCCTCCCTCAGTCTTGTTGCCTGAGCCTGCTTCCCACACCTCCTGGACCTGTGGGATCTGCCTCCTGTCTGTTCCACCTCTGCTCAAGTCAGCTCCATTCAGTGTCCAGGCTGGAGCCAGGAGAGAGACTAAGTCCCAAGGAGAAGCGCTGGACTTGTATGGTGCTTAAAGCTGGAGTGTGAGGAGCTGGGCTGGTGCCCTGCCTCCCTGGGCGGCTCAGAGCCTGCAGCTCTTTTGGCAGATTGCTGTGATAAAGACATCTCATTGCTTCATTCCGAACCTTTCCAGTATTTAAGGAAAGTCAACAGGGTGCTTTTGGGCCTAGCATCCCATTCCAGGGACTCTGTACCCCCTAGACACTGATAACTCTAAAGGACAGCCTTTAGCTATAGTGTCGCCTGCAGTGTCTGCAGACTTATCCCTGCTCCGGCCAGCTGTGGCCAGGGAGAACAGAAATGATAACCCAGCTCACCTGATTAGTAACAAAGCTAGGGGGATCAATCCCAGGCTGGACCTCTGCTGAGGAGCTGGTGAATTTGTGCCCATCGCATCCCCACACCAAGAGCCTCCCTAACAGCTTAGGTCAGAGCCACCAATGCATACATGCATGCTGGTCCTCCTACCAGACAGGTGGGACTGGGCAACAAAGGACAGGAAAAGCTTAGGATCAGGTGCACGGGAGAGAACTGCCCATGTTGGGAAAGGCCCTGGTATCCTGAGAGGAGGTACTAGGTGACCCCGTTTCCAGGCTGCCGTGACCCAGAAATCCGGGCTAAGCCTGAACATTCTGTATGATGAGGTCTGTATCTACTTAACACTCCAGGAAATGGTTACCTCCATTACCTGATGAATGACACATTATGGCCGAGAGACTTCTCCTTTCTCTCCCTACTGAGACCTCACCCAGAGCTCAGGTCCCTATCATGAACCCCTAAGCCCCCTAAGAGAAAACATTCAGGAGTGACAGGGCTGGATGCTGGTGTATCCAGGAGCCTTCTACTTCAGCGTTCCCTTTCTTTCAAAACAAGTCAGCAACAGAGATAGTGAGGGGAATAACAAAGACACCCACACCACCACACAGGCTCAGGGTGGAACCATTTCCCCTCCTACCCCAGCGCTATGTCTATGTCCATTGAGGGACCTGGGTCAGAGGCCAGAACAGCCAATCGTCTGGGAGCTGGGTGTGCTCAAAACAGAATCCCCAGCCCAAGCATTGTAACAGAGCCTCCATTGCAAGGAAAGAGCTGGGCCTTGTTGTGTATCCCTTCAGCTCCCATGATCTGCAGGATAACTCTGAGGCAACCTCTGGAATCCTCCATCCTGCATGAGCCTCAGTTTCCCCGTGAAGGGGGAGGAGACCCTCTCGGCTCAGCATTTAAATGTCTCCTTGTCTTCCTCTAGTCACACATTTTATTTGTGAAATGGCAACCTGGAAGACAGCCAGCCACACCTGTTCTCAGCAGGCTACCTCTAAGCCAGGCCTGGCTGGTCTCACCGGTTCCAGGGAGTGGATAGCTGAACCCTGTCACCAGCAATAGCTTCCCTTTTAAGGTATGTGTTGGAAGCAATGCCTGGAATGTCTCATGGGCCCAGCTTAGCCACAGCAGCAGGAATGGGCCTAGGCTATGGGGTCTCTTTTCTCAGTCAGGAGGCAACCGGTTATGCATGTGGGGCCTAGAGGTTTGCACTGTCCTTGATGGGCCATAACTTGGAAATCTCCTAGTTACCCCATAGGTCTGTGCCTCAGCAAAATAGTGGGGCCTGCAGAAGCCAGGTCCAGCTGGCAGTGCAATGCCTGTGTTAGGTCAAGCAAACAGGCAGGAATGGTCCTGCTGAATTAGAGGGTTCAAGAGATGACCATGTAAGATGCCCAATGAGCTGCAAAACACCAGACACTTAATAACAGTCTCTGGCCACCCGAAGGTCAGTCTGCTCCAGGACACCTGGCCTAGCAGGTCTGGGAGGGACTGCCCACAGAAGCTGACCCCTGGTGTTGGAAGCCTAAGAGCCCAAGGGCTTCCTGAATCCTGCAGCCCAGACTGAAACCTAGGTGCCCAGCTGTGGGCTCTGCTAGACACCCTTTCCCAGGGCCCTGGGAAGGAACAGCAGTCCACTGCCCCAGGTTCCACTGTCCCTGGATATGCAGCCAGGCCGAGACTCCACACACTAGGGATCTCAGGCATGTTACTGCCCTTAGGGGAGGCAACTACCCATTCGCTGATGACACAGTATAAAAACCAGGAAGTTGGCTTGGGAAGACAAACATATGAGAAAATAGCAGCTGCGACCATCATGTGTCTGTCTCCTCCAAGAAAAACAGGACATTCTCTTTTGGCCTCCAATGCCCTGTCAACCTGACGTTCAATACTTGAACCCAAGAGGACGAGTGTCTTCACTTAGGGTCCCCAATCGTCTTGCTTATCACAGGCTATACCTACTATTGAAGTCACCTTTGTGCAAAGAGACTGCTTAGTTCTGGTCATGCTGAGACCTACCTGAAGCTCCGATACCCCGGATTATATAAACAAGATGTCCCACAAGAGACTGAATCTGGCTTCCTGCCATATTTGAAAATACCCAGTCTGGGTCTTAATGCACGAGTTAGCATCTCAGTCATAAACTGGAGCAGGCATGCACACATGCCTGTGTATATAGAGGCACACATTCACACGTATGCATTCACATGTGTACTCATGTCTGTTCACACCTCCACATACTCATATACATGCACACTAGCACAGTCTGACTGATGGTGACCGAGGCTGAAGTGGGGACAGGCGTTAAGCATCACCACCACAGACTGTAACAGGTAGCAGAGTGAATTCCTAAAACCTTGCCAGAGACCCTGTATGGCAAGCTAGCCAGCAAAATCACAGCTTGCCCTAAACTCTCAGACATTTATAAAGTGACATTCGTTAAAATGTCTTTCCCAAAGCACCATGCAGAAACAGGTCACATGTGATTCACAACCTGTTTTCTCAGGGAGTCTGGGGGTTGAGGGGCCAGAGCAAGTCTCCTGGCTCACGGGGCCCCCAACACACAATGCGAACTCACACTGTACTCATATGCACAGGGAATACACACACACACACACACACACACACACACACATACACACAGGCCCCCAACACATAATGAAACTCACACTGTACTCATATGCATAGCAAATACACACACACACACACATACACACAGGCCCCAACATATAATGAAACTCACACTGTACTCATATGCACAGCAAATACACACACACACACACACACACACACACACAGGGACCTGTATGCAGCCCCCATGGGCTAGTCCATACCCTGAGCCCTCCAACACAGTGGTCACACACATACATGCACATACATATTGTACATACGTGCAGAGTACATCCCCACTTCCCACCCCGTTACCTGGTGGGACGAGGTTGTGATGTTTGCAGTGTACAATAGCAGCCACCAGAAGATCTTTAAGGACACACAGTACTTTACTGGGTACAATGTGGCCACAGCACTTGTCTCTGCTCTCTGAGGAGACGCTGAAGACATCATCACTCATCCATGGCTCCAGGCCAGATGCTTCGTTGAGGACACCCAGGCGACAGATTGCAGGGCCATCCCCTGGCTCAGTGGCTTCTGACTCCTCAATCAGGAGAGCCTCGGCGTCCACCCCCAGGGGCACCTCCACATCCAGCGGGTCCTCTGAGGAGCGCAGTGCAAACTGGAAGGCCTCCAGGTCTCGAGAATAGTCGACAAGGAAGCGGGGGTCCAAGGCATGGACACGTTCCAGCACAGTGAGCAGGATGTTCTCCGCTCTCTGGTAGTCCTGGACACGGGGTGACTCCCGGGACTGGATGGCCAGCAGGTAGTGATGCCACAGGGGCACCTGCTCGGTCATGTCTGGAGCAAAGACACAGGGGGCAGGCATCCCTGAGCAGTAGGCAGCAGGGCCTAGGGGCCCTTGGGGACAGCTCTTCAGCTGGTGCGGACTGGCGAGGAGGAAGCGGTACCTGCCCAGGTGAGGCGAAGGTCTGCAGGTAGGGCTCAGCTCTCCGCAGGCAGAGTTCCAGAGGGGCAGGCACTGTGTAGCAGGTTAAATAGCTGAACCAAGGCCAAGGCCTTTGAAGTGGGGTGAGTCAGTACCTAACAATTAAAAGTATCACAGGGGGCTGTCCAGGGAGGCGGAGGCCCAATTGCTTACTACTCTCCTCCCTCCCTACTCCCTCGTGAACCTTAGGTTCAAAACACAGTGGCCTAACCTGGAGGAGGGCAGGTGTATCTCATGCTTCACACCTCCCTGCCCCTTTCCCCAACTCTGTATGGGTCCTCTCCTCTCTAAGGCGGCTGCGAGAGGAGCAAGACACAGGCCTGACCTCGGTAGTACCTCCTAAGCATTCCCCAGATACCAGTGTAAATCATCCCTTCTCCATTTGTCATTCATATAATTGGCCAGCTCAGCCCCTCGGGGTGCCTGTCCCATCCCTCCAGCCTCCCTCTGAGAAGAGTTAGCACGCACCTGGCCAGGAGCTGCTGCCTTCTAGGAGAGAAGCAGCCTCTGACTCCACCTCATGGCTGGAAAGTCTTACCCTACGAGCCACCTGCCAGCGCCCTGCCCACCGTCTCCTCCCTGCTCAATGTCATGCAAGTCCAGACAGGCAGGAGGGAGCCGCCCCTAGCGACCCTTGGCCCTTAGAGGAGCTCCAGTTGCACAGGTAGCAGCTCAGCTTCTAGTCTGCAAACAGACAACAAGGCGACAGCCCCATGGGTGTCAGAGATTCCATCTCTGCAGCCACACCACACATGACCTCTGACCCCAGCCATCTGCACTAAGTCAGAGCTATCAGATGATAGGATAGAAAAACCACCCTTCTTGGAGTGGCTGCTCAGAGCCTGTGAGGGGCTCCGAACTGTGAGCAGGCCTCTGTGAACCTCCTTGACAGAGACAGGCTTCCCTCCAGCCTAGTGCAGCTCTGGCTGCTGGGCTGCCCAGCATACGGCTCACCCTTTCCAAGGCTGTGCAGGTTTCAGAGTGCTGCCTCTGCCATTCACACTGCTTTCTCTGCCCCACCCAGCTCCCCCACTGCACCACAGTCTGTGAGAGGTAGGCCCTGCAGCCCTAGATAGCCCAGCTCTGACGCACCAGGCCAGACAGTTCCTTCCTTACTGAGACCCTGGGCTTTCCCACACAACCTCACAGAAGTCCCTTCAAGCCACCTAGGAGACCGGACCACCCCCCAAGCAAGGTGCTGCCTAAGCTTTTCACCCTCTATGCTGCCCCTCCCCCTCTGCGACCTGGCGTGCCCAGCAGGCCAAAACTCTGTCCTTCCTTCCTTGGCTCTTCTAGAGGATAGTGAAAGCTCCCCATGCCTGGGGCGGTGTCACTGTCATTCTCCTCTGTGTGCTCTCTCTCCATCTGGTCTTGATACTGAATGGTCAGCCCTGCGAGAGGTGGCCAGGGAAGAAGAGCCTGACCTGGGCTCTGCTTGGATGTCTAAAGACATCACAAGCAGGCAGTGGAGAGAGGAAGGTGGAGATGGTGGCTGTGTTTGACTTTGAAGGGACCTACAGGAAGGGCCCAAGCCTAGCACCCTGTAGACCCCGGAACGATGATATGTAAAATAGGGGAAATGGAGGAGACAGGGAAGCCAGATGGTCAGTGTAGCTGTCGGAGCCCATGGGTTTCACAAGACCTTGGTGATGGAGCCAACCACAAATGTATCGATTCACCCTCTCAGTGTAGCACAGGGACAAACACACTGATTCTGTGCCTTGGTAATTCCCAAGTGCTCTGGCAGGGAGGGGACACTCCAGTCTAAATGGATGCATAGAATAAATTTCAGTATAAGGTGCGGGCACCACATGGCCTCAACATTTTACAGACGGCCCCACAGCTGTAGACTCTGAATGGATGTTGGCCAGAGCCATTGTGAGTCCCCTGGGCTACCAGGTCTCCCTAGTAGACCTGGCTTCCTGGGCACAGAGCCTGGAAGCCCTGAATCAAGGTAAAAATGGCTGAGTTCCCTCAGAGGACTCTAGGAAGTATTGTGGATTCTTCTGGATCTAGCTACAGCTGCCTCCGTGGCATCAAGCTGCCTATGCCCAGTTCTCTAGAGCTCCTACCTCATGTTCCTCTGCCTTCAGTCTGTCTCTTATATTGAGGTGGCATCCAAGGCCACCAACTAAAGTTCCAAGTCCTCCAGAAATCTCAAGGTCCAAATCAGGAGCAGAAGGAGAGAGAGCACGAGCAAGGAACTCAGGACGGCGAGGGATGCACCCACACACTGAGACAATGGGAATGTTCTATTGGGAACTCACCAAGACCAGCTGGCCTGGGTCTGAAAAAGCCTGGGATAAAACCGGTCTCGCTGAATATAGCAGACAATGAGGACTACTGAGAACTCAAGAACAATGGTAATGGGTTTTTGATCCTACTGCACGTACTGGCTTTGTGGGAGCCTAGGCAGTTTGGATGCTCACCTTACTAGACCTGGATGGAGGTGGGTGGTCCTTGGACTTCCTACATGGCAGGGAACCCTGATTGCTTTTTGGGCTGACTAGGGATGGGGACTTGATTGGGGGAGGTGGAGGGAAATGGGAGGTGGTGGCTGGGAAGAGACAGAAATCTTTAATAAATAAATAAATAAAAGTTCTTGTTTGGAAGAAAAAATAAAGTTCCAAGTCCTCATGATCTCCTCGTGAGGGCCACACAGGCTCTGTCACTGCAAGTGGCCAGTTGTCAGGCTGCCATAGTGGGCTGGAAAAGTCTGGGCTTTCCTAGCCTTGATCTCCACCCAACCTCACTGAAGTCTTCTAAAGTCACTCAGAGAAACTCAGCTACCACTGAGCAAGGTCTGCCTAAGGTTCTTGTCATCTGGCTGCCTCTCCAGTGACCTGAAGACACATACCACCACACCGGGACTCAGCTACCTGGTTCCTGCATTCACAGCCTCTCCATCAGTCCTACATGGCCACATCGACTTCCCAGGCCACCACTTCCACTCTCTACTAAGCAGCTCTGTGCCAACCTCCAGGATTTGCAGCAATGACCAAAGGGAAGTCCGTGAGAAGGAAGGCACCGCCTGGTACCCTAAGAAAGGCCACTGAGGTCCACTGGCGTTAGTGGTATATTCTGGGATGGACCCCTCCTCTGTTGGGAGCTGTGCTGGCTCTCTCTGGAACTCTGTGGTCTGACAGGATCCCTATGCCCAGAGAGGCGGTTACCTGTTAAAGCTCAGGCATGGACACAGACAGTCAGGTTCCCGGGCACATGCGTTCAGAGGCCCTCTGCGTGACCCACAGAGAGTCACTGTCCTTTCTGGTCTCAGAGTCCTTGACCAAGAATGGGAGATGAGAGGATATGTGCTCTCAGCTGCCTCCACACCCTGACAATGCCCAGTAGATTCTTGACTACCCAGAGACCCTTGACACAAGCTCTCTCCTGGTGAAGCAACTGACCACAACGAGATGGGTAGTTCAGGATCTCAGATGGAACAGCGGGGCTCACCATGCTGAACAAACCCTAGACCTCTCTCACAGGCTATACCCATTGCCTGCTACGTGGCATCATGGTCTAACTCTGGCGTGGATGACTGATACTGCATACAGCACCCAGATAAGTCGGGATTTCTGAGGTTCACGCTGGACATGCGAGAAGGTCATAAGCATTCCTTGTTATGGAATGGGGAGAGACCTGCGTTTTATTTGCTCAGTCTGCCCCCACCCCATGAGATGGAGCATGTGTGTGCCCACTGAGAAGGGTCAGAACAAGAGAGACGACTGTCTACAACTTAGTGACCTAACGCTCACAGCAGCTGAGATCATTGTTGGCTCACACGCCAGTCCCACAGCCCACCTAAGGATGCTTATGAGATCGCCATGGTCATCATCTGTGGGATAAGCAAGTATTGGAGGCAAACACACTTCAGGAAGGGCAGAAGCCGGGGACAAAGAGCTGGGAATGGTCTGGAGGACAAGATGGCATCAACAGGGTGAGCTCCAGCATGAAGCAGGCCTGGGAAACCCTAGCCACCCAGCTAAGACCAGAGCAGAGCAGGGTCCATTGTGTCTGTCACCAAGCTGGATCTCAGGAGAAGGCAGATGTCCACAGGCATACCAGGACAATGGTTCTCAACCTCCTGATGCCATGACCCTTTAATATAATGCCTCATGTTGTGGTGACCCCCCAACCGTAAAATTATTTTTGCTGCTGCTTCATAACTGTAATTTTGCTACTGTTGGGAATCATAATGTAAGTATCTGATATGCAGGCTATCTGATACGGGACTCCTGTGAAAGGGTCATTTGACCCCCGAGGGATCATGACCCACAGATTCAGAACCACTGTCCTAGGAGGTAAGGGAGGAACTACGGGAAAATCAGTCTGCTAGATGTCTTCAAGGCTGGGTTTGCTCAACTGACAGCCTGGAGCTGACCTGCTGTCGTTTGCTGGGACTGGAGTGGTGGGATCCAAGCTTAGAGCTGGCAGATGGGGACCGAGGGACAGGCAGGACAGTAGCTTCCAGGAGCCTCAGCATCACCAACAGATGTCCGAGAGGCTCCAGACAGGAGCTGGAGCTACTGCTTTCTAGTTGTTTCCTTTCCTCACACAGCTAGGACACCAGAGCATGCCCCACAAAGTGTTCAAGCTGTAAAACAAAACCCCGCTGGCCTCTCCTTTCCCTTCATTCTTTAGTCAGGGGAAAGATAATGCGAGCATCAGGGCCTGAGGTGGGAAAGTTCTGCAAGAGAGGGAGGCTCAGCTCCGCCTGCCCAGTGTCTGTCCACACTGAGGAGGTGTCAAGGCCACGCAAGGAGACCATCTTCCCATCCGTCCTTTGCATTCTTCCCTGCTCCTTCCTCCCATAGTTCAGGGGTGTCAATACAGTCTCCCTGCTTCACCTTCTCCACCGCCCCCTTGTTACACAACCTCAGGCCTCTATCAGAGAGATGATCTGGGCCTCAGGCACTTCTGACACCATATGTAGGAAACTTATAATATGTGCAGCTCTTCTGTGTCTAGTGATTTACTGGGGACATGTTCAACAGGACTCTGCTGACCCAAGACTGGGATCACCAACTGTCATCCACCCTCAGAATGTCCTCACGATCACCCCACAGCTGCCCCAAGGGGACACTGTGAGCTCTGCCTGCTATTCAGTTACACTGGGGTCCAAGCAGCCCCGGGACCCAGCAAGCGGGGGTATGGGACTGTGACACCTGTTCAGAGAAGCATGGGACACAAAAGATAGACAAAGGGGAGGGGTACCAGAATAAGGGTGAAAGGGAATGTCGGGGGACCTGTCAGGCCATGGAAACACAACGTGGGGCACCTCAACACATGGGGTACACAAGGCCATTCTGCCTGACCCAGGGCCACCTAATCAGCCCAGGACAGACTAGTAGCTAGCCAATTCTGGGTCCAGAATCTTTGGGTGCCATCTCTGCTAGGTCTCCCTTTGCCTCCATGTTCACGAGAAAGATTTTTTTGCTGTTGCTGGGTTTGGGTTTAGAGGTTTATTGAATAAGCACATGTTTATTATTTTAACCATATTAAAGTATGCATTAAAGTGACATTAAAAAGTTCACATTGTACAGCCACTAGTACTACCATCTACCTTCCTTTCCTGGAGACAGTGTCTCACTGTGTATCCCTGGCTGGCCTGGACTTTGCTATGTAAATCAGGCTAGCCTTGAACTCAGAGAGATCCACCTGCCTCTATCTCCTGAGAGCCAGATGTGCACCACCATGCCTGGCTAGACTCTTGCCTTCTGGACCAGAAGCTGTGTCACCATGAGAACTAGCCCCTTACAACACCTCGTCAGCCACAGCAGCATGGGGAGAACGGTTGCCCCGGTAGATATGACAGCCCTAGGAGCTTCTTTGAGATGGAACTGCACAGTCCTGTCTTGTTATGACTGGCTTATTTCACTCAACCTGACATCCTCCGGGTCCATCCCTGCCGCAACATGTGTCAGAACTTCCCTTCCGCTAAACACGGAGCAGTCATCCAGCTGTACACACAGCCAAATGTGGCTTATCTATTCACCCGCCAGCAGACGCTCGGTTGCTATGAACATGGCAGCCAGATCTCTCCATCTTTGTTTTCTGTTCTTCTGGGTACACACCCAGATGTGGAACTGCTCGATCACGTGGTGTGTGTTTGATTTCTGAGGAAGTACCCTGCCGCTCTCAGTCAGCTTCACCATTGCACATTCCTGCAGCACCGAAGGCCTCCAGTTAATCTACCTCCTCATTAACATACTTTTCTACTTTCTTAATAGCAGCCACCCTAATGGGTGTGACGTTCGTTGGTACAGTTTTCCCCTAATAATTAGTAAGGCCAAACATTTTTGTAGGCTCGCGAGCCTTCTATATGTGTCCAACAGGGAAATATATCTATTCCCATTCTTGATTCAATTTTAAATTGTGCTGTATCGCTGAGTGCTTGAAAATTTTTAGATATTCTAGATTTTATTTCTCTGTCAGATGGACGATTTGCAAGTATTTTTTTCACATAATATCCTGGCTGTTGCCTTTTCTCTTTATTAATATTGCCCCGAGGTATGAAACGCTTCAATGTTTATGAAGTTCAAGTTATCTGTTATTGTTGACAGCCGGGCTTGCCTGGCTGTATCCAGGAAGTCACGACCAGATCCGGTGTGCTGGGCCTTCCTCATTTCTTTACGCCGTAGTCCTTGCCAAACTGGGAATAAGCAGCAGCCCCACACCCTCTCCTGTCACTGAAGGCAGTCTCTTCCTGGTTGTATCTTGGTATACCTTGAGAATGGGCGACAGAGGGCAGGGTCCCTGAGCAACCCTGGCAGTCATGATCCAGGACCATCCACCAACCACCATCCTTTGAACGGGCCAGGTGAGCACTGAGCGGGTAGAGAGCGAGGTTCTCCTCTGCCCAGGGGACCCCTCAGGTCATCCTTATCTGGGTCTCTCTTCCTTATACCATCAGCTGGCTCTATGAATGTCGTAATTTGCCACCCTGACCCAAACCTTTCTGAAGTAGGAAAGGGACATTGGAAGTCCTCATGAGGGAACCTGTATGTACCTTCTGTGTGAAGGCTGGGCTCCCATAGCCTCACCCCAACCCTGTCCTGGCCTCTCCACCTCACTCAACAGCCAAGAATGAGGATAGTGTCATTGAGTCTCTGAAGGAGCCCTGATGCCTAGCCCTGCTGGGCTCTGACATCCTCTGAGCACAGTTCATGTGGGGTACAACTCTTGTTGTGAAGAGGGTGGAGGTCACAAAGGAATGCCATGTCCTGTCCTTGCTTCACAGCCCCAGGATAGCCTGTCTGGCCGGAAGTGCACTGGAATCTGACCTGCTGTCTGTGGCTGTCTCTGTCCCTTTGGTGACTCTGTGCCCCGGAGACAGGGCGGACACCACACGTGCTAAACTCACAGGTCCAGAGGCGGCAGCCATTGCTCACAGGGAGTGGTTTTCGAGGGTAGCCAAGGCTGGACTGACCGGGTGCAACTCCTTTCTTGTCAGAAGTGCATGCCCTGTAGGTTCTGGAGGAAGTGCCCTGTGCACTGGACCTCTTCTGGTTCACTACAACCCTGTTCGGTACCAAGGCTAACCTCCCACCATCACCAGGGTGGCTATGCCTATGCAGACCCGAGGCCAGCCGTGACAGTGCTCATGTTCAGTACCAGAGAGCTATGAATTGTCCGCCAAGGAACTGGAAATCCAGGGTTTGCGGTGTCCTGGCTCTGATTCAGGTGAGGTTTCAGGTGTGGAGGAAGGAATGATAACAAACGCCCCTCTGAAAAGAAGTCTCCCTATGAGTACGGAAGTAATGAACAGCCTGCCAGACAGGTGGCCACAGGCAGAAGCAAATCAGCCACATGTTAGGAGGATGGACAACAGAGCCAGAGCCTGTCCTTGACAACTGTGGTGGAACTCGTTCCCCATACTCCAGGACAGAAGATTCAGGATACTGGGTTCAACAGTCCAGTCTGTTAGGAGGAGGGTCAAGACTGGACGAGACCCTCCTGAGCCCCGCTATCCTCAATGGCCAATCTCACAGGGTTCATTATAGAGTATGCTCTGAGCTGACCATGAAGATTCTCCTTGCCATCAACAGTCCTGGATCAGAAGCTACATTCATGAACCACACAAAGCATCAGGGGTGGATGCAGAGGCAGGGTCTTTGGCTTCTGTGCATGGCCTCTCAGACAGGTCCTCTCAGGCAGCCCAGAGAAGGACAGACCAAGGTGGTTGTTGGCCATAGAGTGCATCCTAGGACCTAGAGACTGAAAATGGAGATCAGACGGTATGCCTGAGTAGGGAACAGGGTGGCCCCACCTGAGAACCAGCCCTCCTAGTCCTAGGACATTCTGAGGATGCCTCGCTGCTGTGAGCTTGCTATGCCAGAAAAGCACATGCATGTCCTACACAAAGAAAACATATTTATGCTTTACATGTCAAATTTTATTGAATAACAGTAAGTATACAGGTTTAGCAGTTTCAATAACATACATTTTTCATACAATTCCACCCTCCTTGGTCGCCCCGTCCAAGGGGAGGGCAGATTCTTTTATTCCAATTTTAATTACTAATGTTAACATTGATATCACATACTATGCAATAAATATATCTCTCTATCTGCATGCATATGCATAGGTTACAGCACAGATGAACAGAGAGGCTGCGGCAAAGTTCAAAAGGTGTCAGAAGTTGGTTGAGACTCTGTGCCGATAAGAGTATGAAGCAGACCTGTGCCAACAGGATAACCGGTGAGAGATGTGATTCTGTACGGTCTAGCAGGCACACTGCAGAGCAGGTAACCTGCCAGGCTCCAAGGAGGAAGCATGTAGAAGATGGAGCCCCCTTTGCTCCTGGGGAAGGTTTCTCCCCCCCTAATCCTTAGACATCCATGACACACATCTCACTACTGATCATAAAGTTCTTTGGCACGTTACCTAAGTCAGTTTGTGACCCTGAATGGAGAACGGTCTGCACCTTCGGGTGTGGTCGGCAAACAAACAGTCTCTCTGGACAGAAAATGGGGGCTCTAGGAAGAGGCTCGTCCCGCCCTCGGGTCAGCTTCACTCCAGGTCTCCAGGGAAACGGCTTCAGCCAACAGTGTTCCTTAGTCCTCACAACAAGCCCTTACTCCTATTTCCAGGGAAACGCAGCCCTCGGCGTCCTGGTTGCCGCAGCAACACTCATGGGCTTGTTTGGTGTGTGGTCTCCACAATCAAGGTGGGGCAGTTGGGCGCCCAGGAGCAAGTAAATTCAACAGGGCAGAACCAGCACAGTGAGTGGCCCCAGGTACTGCACACGGGTGTGGGGAGGCACAAGGAGGAGACGTGCTGAGGAGTCCAGGCACTGCTTCTCTGAGGGGCTGTGCTCTCTCACCCGGGATGAGCTCCACCTCCAGCAACCCTGAAGACGGGGATGCCACTGAGCAGTCTCAGCTGGGGCTGGCCACCGTGATCCAGGTCAGTGAAGTGGCTGCCCTTGGTGTCCCCTGGAGAGCAGGTCTTGAGAGCACTCTTCCATAGGACGTTGCAGGGAAGGCCGCAGCACCTCCCAGGGGCATGCGCAGCACGTGCTCATAGTGAATATGAGCATGTAAGCGCAGACCTTTAGACTGGTACAGCAGCTCAGAAGGCCAGCTCCCTGGAGCCCTGGGCTTGCAGCCTGCACATCAAAGTCGGGGGGATAGGGGTTCCTCTGTTCTGATAGCCAGGTGTGGGAGCAGTTGGAGCTGAGCTGGAAGGGAGAGTTCAATTTGAGGGGACCCCCCAATGCCCACTCTGTAAGCTGCACAAGTTTCATTTCTATCATCATGGAACTTGCTTGCAGAACAGCACTGATGGACTCATCCATCCCCACATCCCCGTCCTTCTCGCCACTTCCCATTCCTCAAAGCTCATCTACTTGCCGGTCCTGCTGTCCCTCATCCTAAGCCTCCACATCCTGCTTGCCCTTCGCTGTCATCATCCAACCACGCCAGCCAGGCAGTGCCCATCCCCTGGGGATCGCAGTGTGCCCCAGATGGTCCTGCTGACTCAGAGCACTCATTAATCCAGCTCTCAGCCCCTCAAAGCCATGCTTCAGGGGGTTGACGTGGTCCTAGGTGAACAGTGCATCAGATCCCCTGGAAGGAGTAGCTGCACAGAAGGTGACAAGTGGCTAAATAACACGGTAGCACCTTTGCACACATAGGCATACACATCTGCCCACATAGGACAGACCGTGACACAAACGGAGTATTAAAGCCAGTTGGGGTGGAGGAGACGGCTCAGTGGGTGATGGCCGTCGCCATCAAGTCTGATGACCCGAGACTGATCCCTGGGAGTCACATAGTGAAGACGTCCAAATGCCAAAACTTGTTCTCTGACCTCCCCACATACCCTATGGCTTGCGCGCGCGCGCACACACACACACACACACACACACACACACCAAGCCCACACACAAGTAAATAAGTGCAACAAGACAAGAGATTGGAGCCACTCTTGCAAGCTCTACCTGACGGGGTCGCGGGCTGAGTTCTGAGAGCAAGACTGATGGTGGGCTCAGAAGGAGTGGTCGGCACACCACAGCTCACAAACTACTCCCAGCCCAGCACATCTGAGCATCACATCACCCTGTAAGGACCTGGTCGGCTCCTTTGAGGCTTCAAGGTAGAAGTGAGTGGCCATGTGTTTGCCAGGGTACTTGAGGGAGAAACCCAGAGTGATGCAAGCACCTCTGGGCACGGGTGATGGGGGCTTCTGCCTGCACCTAATCCCACTGTCCCTGGGAAGCTGTCACCTAAGAGTCATACAGAGCCTGGTGAGACTCTTCTGTCTGCCGGGCCACACCCGCTATTTGCACAGCTGTGATTGAGATCTCTGTGCAATTACATCAGGTGAGCATGCAGCAGGAAGGCGCCATGAGATACCCAGATAGGCATATCAGACTTGTGGCAGGACTCTAGGGACCTCCAGCTCCTCTGGCTACATACAGGAAACTGTGGGATCCAGAGAAGGACTGAGGTTGAGTGGGGGAAGCCTCCTATATGACCAGGAGCATGGTCTTTGACCTCAACCTGCTTCTTGAGATGGAAAGAGCTCCTCAGCATCCCTCTTCCTCTGGCCAGAATCTGCACATCTGCACACCCTCCCACAACAGCCTCTGCACAGTGCCCCAGAGCCCCAGCTCCCCAGGCCTTTTGAGAGCTAGAACTGGGGACAAGGACCAGGCTTGGGAGCCCTGAGCTTGATCCTGAGGGGCGAAGCACACTGGCTCAGTGAGTTCAAAGACCCCTAAAATTACATGTGAAATGAGGGGCTCTCTGTGCACCAGGAGACGGAGCTTCCTGAGTCCTCTCGGACGCAGGGGATGTGAGTGCTGTGGGAAGAGTCCCCACTCTTGACTTGGTTGCTTTAACGGCATAGAACTTTTCGAACTGTTTCTTTTGGGTTAAGTTCTAGTTTTCTGGGAACTTGTCCATTATAAATTTTCATATTTGTTGGCAAAAGCTGTTGCTATGGTTTGGGTGTGGTTTGAATGTGCCCCCAAAGGGTTCACGAGCTGGAAGTCTAGGGGGTGACGGTAATGAAGAGTGGAAAGTGTTTAGGTCATAGGGCACTGGCCCCAGAAGGGATTGGTGGCTTCTTTCTGGCCCCCATTTCCTTCCAGGATGAGTTGTTTAAAAAAAAAAAAGGGGGGGCAGCAAATCCAACTCCTGCACTCTCTGGCTCCTTCCTTCTGTACACCACATACGCTTTTCTTTCACACATACGTCCACCACAACGGCTTCTGCCATGTTGAGCGATAGCCAGGCACTTCACCAGTATCCGTCAGAGGCCCTGTCTCCAGCTCCATGAGCTAAATGACCCCCATTTCTGTCTATACCAGGGCCAGGCTCACCGTAGCAGCAAGACATGAACCAGGGTAGTGGCTCATAAGCTTCTGACTTTTTAATACCATGGGACCTGAAGCAGACAGAGCAGCCACCTCTGCTTCCCAAAGGGTCTTAAAAAGAGGTGTCCAGAACTTAAAGACATGCTTTTTAAGTACAAGAAAGTGTTGGACTAACCAGGGTGAGGGGGTCTCCCAGAGCATCACCTGCTTCTTCTTCTTTGACTCTAGTCTTAGTTGGGGTTCCTATTGCTGTAATAAAATACTATGATCAAAAGCAATCCTGGGGAGGAAAGTGCTGTGGCCAGCTCAGCCTGGATAGCCAAGACTGGCTGGGGGTGCTGGGATTGAGACAGGGAGGCTTCTTTTCAGGTGGAAGAACAGCCACCTTTAGTTTGCCCAGTACCTTTTATACCTCTACTCCTTCTGTGGAGACCCACCAGCCAGAAAGAACACAAACATCCTTGTCAATTACAGACCACAAGGAAGTTCCACTGTCAGTCAGGGGGAGTGAGGGCAGCTGGATCACAACAGAAAAGGGTTCACCTTATTGCTGTAATCCATCATTCAGGGAAGTCAGGGAAGGAACCTGGAGGCAGGAACTGAAGCAGAGGCTATGGGGGAAGAAGGCCTTGCTCAGCCTGTTTTCTTATATAATAAAGGACCACCTGTCCATGGGCGGTACTGTCCTCAATGCACTTGGCCCTCACACATCAATCATTAATCCAGACAACACCCCACAAGACTTGCATACAGGCCAGTCTTATAAAGGCATTTGTCACTATACGGCCCCCAAATAGTTTCATCTTCTCAAATTGTCATTCTCATTAAGCGCCAGCTCTCCCAGCCCATGGGAGCCATCAGCTTGCTCCCTGTCTCTGAGTCTTTGAACCTCACGTGGACGGAACTGTCTGTCAACTTATTTCACTTAGCATAGTGTCTTCTTAAGGTCCTCCCAGGTCATAGTATGGCTGAGGGACAGTCCCTCCTGTGGATGAACCATGCATTGTTCACCAAGTCATTCCTCCATGGACCACTAAGAGCATCACTGGGATACAGGCTCAAATGCTTAGGTCTCTGGTTTCATTTTTGTGGAATCTGTTCTAGAAGAATTGAGGGATCCAGGGCTCAATATATATGAACCTGAATTATTTTTCAGCGACTCCACTATTTTTCATTCCCACTCTCTTTTGCGAACGCATGTGTCTAAAGCAAGACGTTGACTGTAGGAACTGTTCTCACCCATTCAACTGCTGACCACAGCTGATTCGTCAATGCTCTGGACCTACCTGTTCTAATACCAGCTACCCAGGGGTAGTGCTAGGGCCTAGCCTTACAGGAGGAAACAGTTCAGACACCATCGTAGGCTGCCCTTTGCCCTCTGAGTGGCTAGCTAAATCCAAGGTTTCCCTAAAACAGCTGTTAACACTCGGGCATCACCTGATGCTGACTTAAAGGGCTCCTTCGGGGAAATTCACAACATGATGCCTGGGAGAGCTGAAGCACCCTGTTGGGGTACATGCTGGCCCCAGCCCTGCAGCCACACCAAGCCCCTCACTGGGGCATTCGTGGGTACTTCCTGTGTAAACACTACTGATTATATCCCGGGGATCAAAGTACTAGATCAACAGATGTCTTGGGGGTGGGTGGAAAGATCCAGAGCTCTCATCCTGCCTTTGCCATTCGGGAGTTCCCCAGGGACCCAGCCACTCCCCCTCACACTCCTCTTTCAAAGTCACTCCTCACTCCGAAGGTCAAGGGTGTGAGGTCCCAGGAGAGCAGGGCCATCAAGGACAGGAGCTGATGGTGGCCCAGATGTGGGGAAGGACACACCGACTAGCTCTGTTCCCAGAGCCACATGCTCAGACTCCAGTACCTCTGCACTGACCAGATGGACCACATCTTCTACTCAGACTTCTCTTATCCATGTTGCAGAGACAGGCCCTGCCCTCCTCAGCAGAACATCCCAAGCCTTGACAATGGCACTCAAGTTTTCTGCCGTGTCTATCCCACCTCTCCTCTCTCTGTTTCCTCCTGATTCCTTACTCCTCGCCCCTTGCTCTTTGTCCTCGGCCTTTGCATGCTCTGCAGGCCTGCTGTCTTCCCCAGGACGCCTGTGCGGGTGTCGGGACATAGGAGCAGATAAGACAGACAGCATCTCCATCCTGCTGAGCATTCTCTGCTGTGAGTCATCTTGTAGGTAGTGATTCATCCCTTTGGCCATTCCAACTCGGCTCCCGATTACTTGTGCTGGGAACCTGTCTGAGCCTGTTTGGATGGCAGGCGTTGTGATAGGGGTGGAAGGATACGTTTTCCCCTTCATCCTCAGCCCCTGCACCAACATCTAGTCCCCTCGTGACTTTAGACTTGTCTGCTCCAGGGGCAATGTCCATACCCTAGCTTGACAGGTACAGTCAGGGGTGGGAGTGAGGGGTGTCAATCAAAACAGAAGTAATGCCAGCCTGTGAGACACAGGAGTAGGCATTACAGGTACCAAGTCCAGCAGTACCGACCAAACCCTCTGCAGGAGAACAAAGTGTTCTGCGCCTACAGTTGGGCCTGCTCTTGACCAGGCCAGTTCACTGAC